CTCCTCAGCAAGCGCCAAAGATGTCTATAGGTCCCTCCACTCGCACTTAGAAACTGGTGGTCTATTGGTTCAGCTGGTACCTTTCGTTTTCTTCGTTCTCCCTTTCCTCCTCTTTTTGAGACAGGATCATGAATGGGATGCGGGTTGGCCTTGAACTTGACATCTTCATGCCTTGACCTTCCAAATTCTGAGCCCACAGGCAGTGTGAACTGCTAAGCTCAGCAGACCTTCCAAATTTATGAGCCCAGTGTCCCACTTTCTTCTCCCGATCCCTAGTCTAGTTTACCTTTACCACTGTAGAAATTCCCCTAGAAAAGCATAGAGTGGTTGGTACTGTCACTGCAATTATGAACACAAGAGGTGGTGAGACAGGCTGACTCCTCACATTCTTCTCTTGTCAATAGACTGAGAAGTTCCCGGATGGCTTTTGGCTAGGGGAGCAGCTGGTGTGCTGGCAAGCAGGCACTACCCCTTGGAACATTTTCCCAGTCATCTCACTTTACCTCATGGGTGAGGTCACCAATCAGTCCTTCCGCATCACCATTCTTCCTCAGGTATGTCCCCAAGCTAAGGCAGTGGGGTGCCAAGAAGACAGAGTGTGTAGAGTAAACAGATATGGCTTCCTACAACTTGAAAGGCAAAATGAATGTCTAGTGGTAATGGGATCTTGGAAAATCCTAGGGCTTGAGGAAGAGCTAAGTGCAGATGGCTAGGAGACAGAAAAAGGTGGGATTTATCCTTATTTTATCCATAAGGAGACATGCTCTCACCCTGTGGCCATTTATCCCTAGCAATACCTGAGGCCTGTGGAAGATGTGGCCACATCCCAAGACGACTGTTACAAGTTCGCCATCTCACAATCATCTACAGGCACTGTTATGGGAGCTGTCATCATGGAAGGCTTCTATGTGGTCTTTGATCGCGCCCAGAAGCGAATTGGCTTTGCTGTCAGTGCTTGCCACGGTGAGAGCACCAGTGAGGAGGGTGTGTGGTCAGTCTGGTCATGTTGTCCCTGACAGCAGCTAGGATACCCAGGTCCCTTTCTGTTTGAAGGTAGTAATAGTTGCCTCTGGCTAGTCAACTGTGTGAAAGCTAGGGCCGAGGCTTGCTCTGGTGAACCCTGCCTGATAGGGAAAGCACTAACAGCCAGAGCTTTACAGGTACTTGGAAACCCTAGCTGAAGGGTAGCTGGCTGCCCACAGTGAGGTTGAATGCTGCCACGGAAAGTTGGCAGGGCTTTGTGATTGGGCTTTCATGGAAACAGGTAAGTCGGCTATGTGTGTAAGGGGCTGGATTTTGGTCAACTCAGACCTGTTGACTTTTTGGTATCACTTCTATTGGAAGGGAAAATGAGGAAGCCCTGCAGTTTCCAAGGTTCTGGAAGGAGAAACAGAATCTCATACACACACACACACACACACACCCGGCACTGCTCACTATTTCTAGGAAGGGCTCTGCACAGACTCACTTGGGTGGATCCCAAGGGGTCCTTGTCAAACTGCTCTATGACATTAAGAGCTACTGGTTCATCTCCACTTTTTCTCCAGTGCACGATGAGTTCAGGACAGCAGCAGTGGAAGGTCCTTTTGTTACACCAGACATGGAAGACTGTGGCTACAACATTCCACAGACAGATGAGTCAACGCTTATGACCATAGCCTATGTCATGGCTGCTATCTGCGCCCTCTTCATGTTGCCACTCTGCCTCATGGTATGTCAGTGGCGCTGCCTACGCTGCCTGCGCCATCAGCATGATGACTTTGCTGATGACATCTCCCTGCTGAAATAAGGAGGCCTGTGGGCAGATGACAGAGATTCCCCTGGACCACATCTGGGTGGTTCTCTTTGGTCACACAAGTTGGATATACAGATGGCACCTGTGGCCAGAGCACCTCAGGACCCTAACCTACCTGCCAAATGCTTCTGCTTTGAAAGAAAATGGAAAGCTGGCAAGGTGGGTTACAGGGCTTACACCTGTAGGAAACAGAAGAGGGAAGAAAGCAGCATTCTGGCGGCAGGAATACCTTTAGTCACCTCAAACTTGAGTTGGAGATTCTGCTGCTTGAAGCTTCAGCCCTGACCCTCTGCCCAGCATCCTTCAGATTATCCAACCCAAAGTATTCTTTCTGTCCTTATAGAAGTACTGGTGTCATGCCCAGGCTACCCGGCATGTGTCCCTGTGGTACCCTGGGAGAGAAAGGGTCAATCTCATTTCCTTGCTGGCTGAAGCAGCAGAAGAAAATGCAGTTTGTCAGTTTAGGGACTGGAGAATCAAGCCTACACTGGTGCAAAGACTGCTTCTTGAGTTAAACAAAAACCAATGTGATGCAATGTTTGTACTCCTGGGGGCAGTCAAGATGAGGAGAGACAGGACAGAGACAGAGGAAGGAGTTGGTAGCAAAGCTAGCAAAGGCAGAAATATAACCACTTTTTAGTCCCAAGTTTAAACTCATCTCCAAGACAGAAGCCCATCCTGACTGAAAGAGGTGTTATTCTCCGATGTGTCTGTGGTTGCAGCCTGAACTGAACTGAGATGGGGAAAAGGGCTGATTGGCCAAAGAGCTCTGCTCAAAACTCTTCAAGAAACAGCGCTCATGAGAAAGCTCCACTGGACAGATGGATTCCTGGTTAATTCCATCTGTCTTTACCTGCTTCTACATGCTAAGTGACATCCAAATGTCCCAACCCCACAGGTGCCCTATGGGACAACAGTTAGAATACTGCAGGGCTGGGGGTTGTCTTCCCAGCATAGGTTCACTCCAAACGAGGTGCTAAAAGGAACAGACAGGAACAGTTCTCCTATCTGCTCCACAAAGGCAGAATCCTGAAGATTCATTCAGCAGGTATAGGGCTGATGTCTTTGCTTCTGCCTGGATTTTATTTTTATTTTACTTTTCTTGCCCAGTGGTACAAAGTGGTGGGATCTTTGTGGAATACTGAGTGAGTTCATTATTTTCTTGTCCTCTCCAGTGGCCACTCTATTTATTTGGCTAAGGCATCATCACACATTGGCTAGTATTAAACCATGAATGTAAGAAATAGAGGGCTTTCTGGCTCTGTGTCATTGCCTTCAGTATCTAGGCTGCCTGGAGAAAGGATGGCGGCCTCAGGGCTTCCTTACCTCCTTCTCCGCCTTTCCTGATAGAGCAGTCTTCTGTTCTGCTCTCTGCTGCCCCTCCCAATAGTACATGGGTACCCAGGCTGGTTCTTGGGCTAGGTAGTAGGGGCCAAACTCATTTCTTCCCTGTGAGTTCTAACACAACAGACATGAAACCAGTGTTAGTGGGAAGAGTTGAATTTTCCTGGGACACCCACTGTATCCTATCCCTATATGCTCTATACACTGCTTTCAGGTAGGGGACCTGCCAAGCATGGAATTAGCTGATGGGGGAAAGGGAGATACACGCAGGGCCTCTGGTGTTGCTGGCCCCAGCCAGCTGCCCACAAGCCATAAACCAATAAACTAAGAATACCAAGTAACAGTTTTTTAGCTGGGTCCTCTTCATTCCCCTCGCACTGGTGCTGCTCTGGCTGAGTGGGAACACCCCACAACCACAAGGACTGCCAGGAAGAGTGGAGACTGTCCACTGCCAGCTCAGAACCTACAGTGTAAATAAGCTTCCAGAATCACTACCATGAAATGAAAATGCCACATCCTGCTTTATAATTTCTACCCATGCTGGGAAAAACTGGCTTTTTCCCATCTTTTCCCGGGGGGGCGGGGCCCCACTCAACCTAGTTGTTATTTACCCTAGTAGCTGGTGTTCTATTTTTTTTAAGGGGAAAATTGCATTTATTTTTCTTTTGATGATTAATTCCTTTGTATAATCTATGAACTATGATGTGTAAAACCGAAAAAAAATCTTGACAACAGCTTCTTGCTTGTAAAAATATGTATTATACAGCTCTATTTTTAAAGTCTCCTGGAAAATTACTGGCCTATCTCCACATGGCATGTGGGGCTTTTGCCACTGGTCTACAAGTATGGTACCATCGAGGCCCAGTGGGCAGAGGTAATGGGGAACAGGGATGCAAAATATTTCTCTGCAAAGAATAGAGCCATTCTGACAAGGCTCCAGCTGCAGAGACCCACTCTCCAAAATGTAGCCTTCTTGGGGCTTGTTAATCATTCCTGCTTTTTTTCTGTCTATTCTTTTAGCTTCAAAAATTTTTTTTTCAAAGGTAATTTTTAAAATATTTTTTTGAGATAGCATCTCATTATGTAGACCAGGCTGGCTTCAAACTTGTAGCAACCCTCCTGCCTCTGCCTCCTGAGTGCTAGGATTACAGGTGTATACTGCCACTCCTCGACAGAAACAATATATAATGTGTGCATGTCTGTCTGTGGAGCTTTGGGGGGCGGGTGTTGAGATAGGGTCTCAAGATTACAGGCTTGTGCCACTATTTTTTTTGTGTGTGTGGTTTTTCAAGACAGGGTTTCCTGGTTGTCCTAGAACTCACTCTGTAGACCAGGCTGGCCTCAAACTCACAAGAGATCCACCTGCCTCTGCCTCCCAAGTGCTGGGATTAAAGGCATGCGCTACCAATGCCTGGCTAGACACAATATTCTTTATACTTACTTCCAATTTACAGTTTTCAGGAGACACTCAAAGGTACTACACAGCTAGTGGCCAGGCTGCTACACAGCTGAAGGCAGAGAACAATCTTAAGATTATAAGTCATAAAATGAATTCCCACATGAAAAGAATAAAGGAAGTTATCTTCCACTTTGTCACCTTTTTTTTGTTTAAGACAGTACTATACTGGAAACAAGAAGAAAGAAGTACTTAATTAACCAAAGAAAGTAGATCACCTGACCTCTAAAAAGTTGAGTACTCAGGCCATTCCATTCCCTTTTAAGATGTCAAGGTAATTCTGGGAAGTCCAGTTCCCTAAATATGCTTGTCAATCAATCTGGACAAATAAGGCAAGAGAAAAGAATTCATCCATGAGCTCATATAAGGCAAGGAAGAAAAAAAAACAAAAACAAGAGAATTTAGTTAGCTTAGAAATAAGAAAGTCTTTGCTATTCCTAATACAAATCGCTAAACTCAACAAGCATTTCCCAGTGCCAGAATGGGAAAACCTCAGTTATTGGTAATATAATGTTGCCCTTCCCTCAAATCCAATTCCTTTTTCCTCAGTTAATACTTGTTTAATTCTAAAAAAGAAGGGAATTAAAGCCATTTACTATAGGAGTAAACATAAAGATTGGGAAAAGACTCAAGGTTCTCTGAGCCACAGTTTTCCAGACATAAAACTCAGAAGTACTCAATAAGCAGAGATGGAAAGCCATCTCACTCCAGATGGGAATCTACAAAACATGGCTCGTGACTGTCAAGTCCCACCCCCCCTTCATCTTACTTTGTCTTCACTTTATCCCAGACAGGGAATGTGTTCCCCATAGCTTTCTTGCTTCACAAATGAAAATCCAACATCCCATGATTATTCTGCAAATAATTTTGCACAGACATCTCACCCCAGTGCCTGTCTGGAGCTCACCCAAGGTCACCAAACAACTTGGTTGTAAACCAACTGCCTTAACCTTTTGTGGGGAGAAGAGAGCTAGATCAGGAGACCAGAGGAATGGAAGGGATGAGCACTTTGGAAGGCTGGCCTGTCAGTGGTTAGTGGAGGCCAAGCCAGTGGCAAGGGATGGTGGCTAGGCCCATGGATAGATCTATGAATTGTGCTTTTCTACCCACGAAATAGAGTAGACAGAAGATGGTGGGAGAAATGGGACCTGATTATGTTGTTCTTAGACTGTGGATTTTACTGACATAACACAGAATATCCTGTATACCTGATATCAATGTATAAATAATGAGCATTAACACAGTAAAATGTTCAATGAAAAATCAAACTATCAGAGTTACATTTTTCCCCCCTCAATCAGTAACATTTTTTCCCCATTGGAATGGAGTGGCTAAAACAACACCAAGACTTCTGGAGGCCCCTGCAAAGCAAGGCATCTGGTTGGACAGCAGGTGAGCACCAGGCTTCAATTCTGCATACATGAGCCTTACAAAAATGGACTAGAGGCTGAGCCAAACCAAAGCAGGATGGCCTTAGAGCAACAGCAATTTCCTAGACGGGTTAGACAACAGTCCTATGCAGGGATCATGATCTCCAGGCCAAATTAAACATCATATTCCCTATAGTCTGCAACTCCAAAAAGAACTGCAAGATGAGGGGGAACAGGGTATATCTGCATTATATACATACTTTCATTACGAACATTTGAATACAGACTTCTATACACACATTACCTATATAATAAAAATGTACACGGCATGAGTATATGTCACTGTATAAATATAGAGTTTTAGAAATCTTGAACCCGCGTTTCCTGTTCACATCGGTTTCTCCTCTTCTTTCTCCCCAGTCGGGTCCATCATTTAAGAGTTGGGCAAAAGGGACAAGTGTCATTTGTGTTGGTCTGGGCCCAGAATTTGATACACTGGAAAGAAAGAGACACATATATACCTCAGACTTGGCTGGAAAATCAAGTAAAGTTAGATCACAAGATCTAACTCTCAAAAGTTCTCATAGGGGCTAGATGTACTAGCAGGACTATTTCAGTGGTCTCTCTCTTCATGTTGTGTGTCGTATGCACTTGCTAGTATTAAATACCTACCTCCTTGTGCAGCGCATGGGTGCAAGCCATCGGGTGCAGCTCACTGGGCTGGACAAGTTTCTGACACATAAGACACAGTTTACAGGTGGGTGGAGCCTGTGGGACAAGAAAGCTGGTCATAGCTAGCCAATCTCCGAGTCACCTTGCCTGCTATGCCCCATGACTCCATCCGTTAGTTCCATGGAGCGAAACTATTCTTCAGCAAAAGAAATACAAGTCCTAACCTAGATTCTTGCCTAAAGTGCTTGCAGCATGTTCCCAGTAGGGCTGCAAACAACCCTGCTGTGGAGATAATGGTTTCCTCTAGCATCCTTACCTGTAACCCACTCCCTCCTCACCCTGTGCTTCTCCACATCCCAGTGTTAAAAGAAAAGAGTCTTACATGTGAAGACCTTCCAGGGTATGAAACTTGGGCAGAAGGCAAGAACATTGGGGTACTGATTTGGGCCAGAGGAGCAGGGTACAAAGCCCGGATCCGACCAAGTGGCTGTGGGTAGAAATAATTTCAGAGTGAGGGAAGAGAGTCTGAGCAACAGAGCATGTATCAAAAAGAAACTGGGGCCAGCAGGATGGCTCAGTGTGTAAAGGAGCTTGCACGCAAGCCTAATGACCTGAGTTCAATTCCTGGAACTCACATGATAGAAGAAAATAGACTCCTACAAGCTGTCCTCTAACTTCCATACATGTACCTATGAAAACACATCTCACCCCCCACAATAATAATAATAATAAATTTAATTAAAAATGAACAACACAAAAAGAAATCATTTGCTTTTCAAGATGAAAAGAGCAGACCAGATACCCCTGGCTCTGATGCTTCTCACTCCCAGTTTTTCTGAAGTTGGCTTCTTCCTCAACCTCTCAGTAGGTATAAGTTCTCTCCCTGTAGCTCCTCTCACCTGAGTGCTCGATGCCACCCGTTCATGCTCTGCCAGCCGTGCAGCTACCAGCTGAATTAATTCCTCCATGGTCAAGCCCGCCATGGTGGTACGTGCTGTCTTGATTTGCTGAAGAATGTTGGTCATCTGGGCCCTAAGAATAAACAATGTTGAGAGAAAGAAAAATCAATCTTTATGGGAACACCCACATTTCAAACCATAAACATTTCTCTGGCAGATAACAACACTTACTTATTGCACTGTGGAAACCGAGTCAGCAGCTTCTCCAGGATCTTCTCCAGTTTGTCTACTGGTTGGGGTCGGGGAGTTTCAGTAGAAGCTTTAATACCGCCCAAGCCTGGGGGAGGCGGGATGGAGGCAGCAGGAGGCATGTGTGGACCATGAGGGCTGACCAGGGAACCCAAGCCAGGGCTATTTCTCCCATGTGAGCCAGGAAGAGGTGGGGATGGTTGGCTGGACTGGGAAAGGGCAGGGTTCAAGATTGGAAAAGACAAAGAGCGAGGATCTGCACTTGGCATAACCATAGGCATTGTGACCTGCCCAATAGAGAAGGGCATCCGAGGGGTCAGAGAGGGACTGGGCTGAAATACTTGAAGCATAAAGTCTGCCTGTAAAGGGAAGAGGTGGAGGACAAAAGAGATGGGGAGAAAAGATTAGGAACTGGAGCAAGGGATAAGGAGATAGTTCAGTTGATAAAGTACCTGCCTTGCAAGCATAAAGACCTGAGTTCACATCCCAACAGCCTCATAAAAGCCTATAGAGGGGGCATATATCTATAACCCAATACTGCGGTGGTAGAGACAAGCATATCCCTACAGTGGCCTGCCAATTTAGCCAATCCCTGAGCTCTAGGTTCACTGAGAGACCCTGTTTGAAGAAATAAGGTAGACAGGCTGGGTGTGATGATACATGTCTTTAATTCTAACCCTAAAGAGAAAGAGACAGGTGGACTTCTGTGAATTTGAGGATAGCCTGTTATACAGAGTGAGTTCCAAGCCAGCCAGGGATATATAATAAGACCGTGTCTCATAAATAAAATAAAATAAAAATATTGAAAAGGTCAAAAGCAACCTAAAGTTGATCTCTGGCCTAAGTACATGAGAACGCACACACATATACCTGCATGCACATGTACACACATACACAAGCATGCACTTATATATACATTATATAAAAATACAAAAAATTTTTTAGGAGCCAGGAGGTAGTGGCACACGTCTTTAATCCCAGCACTTAGGAAGTAGAGGCAGGTGGATCTCTGTGAGTTCGAGGCCAGCCTGGTCTATATAGTGAGTTCCAGGATAGACAAGGCTACACACAGAAATCCTGTCTAGAAAAACAAAAACGAAAAAACAAAACTATTTTAGGAGAGAAAACTGGGGCAGAAATCAATGAGTAGCTCTTACATTCCTATACTAAATGGGGATGTCCCAATGTTTTCATAAAAAGAACAAGCAGACAACTCTGACTTTGCCTACAATACAGAAAGACTCCTCTAAGTCAGCACTCTTACCTCTGAGGGGGGTGGAGGCAAAGTGGGGGTAGGGATCTGAGGAAGACTGCTCAACTTGGCTCCATTCCTCACTAGCTGGATATGACTATTAAACTGGTCCTGGAATAAAAGGAAGAAAAAGGATTGTCCTTTACTGCTAGGCTGAACAAACCTCTGGGGAAAGCAAGCTGCCTACTCTCAGCAAACCACAGGAATGAAGCAAGCACTGTGCAGCAATGCAAAAGGCTAGCTACCAACCCACTGTCAGGTGAGTTTAAGCACAAACTGGGGCAGACTGAACCATCACCATTAACTACACTTACCCGAACATTCTTTTTCATTATCCGAACTCCATTCAGTCTTGTCTCCCACTCCTGTTTGGAACGAACTGTCTCCAATGTTGGAGGAGTTGACCTTTCAAGAAACAAAGAATTTACAGAATTCAAAATACAAAACAACGGGGTTTTTTTGTTTTGTTTTTTTTTTTTTTTTTTTTTTTTTGGTCTTTGGAGACAGGGTTTCTTTGTATAACCCTGGCTGTCCTCGAACTCAGAGATCCTCCCGCCTCTGCCTCCTGAGTACTGGAATTACTACCTCTTGGGTAAAAATCAATTCTTAATTCACATAAAATACATACTAAAAAAACAAACAAACAACAACAAAAAACCCACCACAACAAAAAACTCTTAGCTGGGCATTGGTGGTGCAAGTCTTTAATCTTAGCACTTGGGAGGTAGAGGCAGGCGAATCTCTGTGAGCTTGAGGCCAATCTGGTCTACAGAGCAAATGCCAGGCTCCAAAGCTACACAGAGAAACCTTGTCTCTGAAAAAAACAAAACAAACAAACAAACAAAAAACAACAAAACTAATCTATATCTCCCCACCTTCAATGATGATGACAAAGGCAACTGTCCTAAAATTGCAGTCACTTTCAATTCCAGGAAGACCAAAACTTCCAAGGAACACCCACCCTCCAGATGAGGACAGTCATCCATGAGCCTGCACTCTAGAGTAGAAGTGGTCCTCATGTGGGAACCAGACTGATGCCCTCAAGTGGTGACACCTAAAAGACTTCTTCAGATCACCTCGCAGAACAAGAATTGAGACAAATGTCAATAAGACCACATCTTGAGCCAGACTAGCTAATTAGTTACCCATCCTGCCCCTTTTCCCAACTCCTCTATTTAAACCTGAAGTTCTGTGCCACATGGTGGTGTATGTAAACCAAACACTCTGAAGCTAGAGGCAGAAGGATCAAGTGTTCCAGGCCAGCCTGGACTACACAAAATTCCATCTTAAAACCCTAGGACTAGAGTGATGATGATGGCTCAGCAGTTAATAGTGCTTACTTCTCTTGCAGAGGAATGAAGTTTGGTTTCTAGCATCCAAATTGAGCATCACACCATTGCTTATAACTCCACTGACACCTGCCTGTGGGTACCCATACACATGGACATATAACCATTTAAACACACACATAAATATAAATATAAATACTCTCTTAAAAAAACCTATTTAAACAGATCAACCCGAAGCTCATGTTGGCCAGCCTTGTTTACAAGAGCTAGTTCCATGACAGCCAGAGCTGTTATATAGATAAACCCTTTCTCTAAAGACAAAACAAAAGTTCATGTTGATACTCCAAAGATAGTTTTGTCATCTCTGAGATTCTTTATCAGTTCTTTCCAATGTAGCAACACTGATTACATGCTTACTGCTTTTCAGCATTACTGATCATCTCTTTAGTTGATGAGTGACTGAGCATAGCCTGCTAGGCCTGCTGGAGCCTGGGCTTTTGCCCTAAACTTCAGTTAGACCCTGAGACACAGTTGCTGGGTAATGATCCTTGAAAAAAGAGATGGGAGCAAGTGCTAGAGAAACCCAAGAGTTCAAGTCATCTGCTTCACATAAATGATAGCACCTTTCTGTCTGACATAGCCGCCCTGGCCTGAAACTTTCAATTTTCCTGCCTTGGACTCCTAAGTACTGGAATCTTGCCTGCCTGAAAAATGCTATAAGAATCCTCCAAATCCTGTGACAGACAGAGGAGAAACGGCCATAGGAGAAACAAAGCTTCAAAAACCTTCAAGACCTATATTATGCTTTGATAGTCTAGCAGATATTATTGACACAAACAGAAGTGTGATAATAAAAAGTGCAAAGCTATAAAAGGAGGAAAGTGTGAGAAAGCGCAGAACATGGACGAGAAATCTTGAAAAGTTATGGGTACACACACAGAGACAGAGTCCTATGAAGACAGACATGAGCCAGGCCTGCTAACCTAGGCCTTAGAGAGAGGTACTTACTTGAGGTAAGTCAGATGCAGCTCTGCTTCTTTTTCTGCTTCTTCCAGTTTCAACACCAGCAATTCCTTTCGGCTCTCTAGTGACAGGATCTACACACATCCACATGAGTATTTGTACACAGACACACACACACACACACACACACACACACACACACGGGGAGGAAGGGAGGGAGAGAGAGAGAGAGAGAGAGAGAGAGAGAGCTTTACATACACAAATTTCCTGTAGTTAAATGCCTCCAGGCTTTTAGTACTCTATCAAAACTGTATAGCCCCTGGAAGTACAAGATCAAGTCTGTATATGCATTGTCTCTTCTTACCTCAGCCTTCCAGGCCCGCTCTGTCTCTTCCATAATGTTCCGATTGATTTCACCATCCTGGGTCTTAAGTCTATCCAGTTCCATTTCCCACACTTCTCTGTACAGTAAGAAGCCAAGAACAAGATTAAGAAAGAAAATGTAAGTTTGCTGAGCAACAGCGAGGCAAAAGGAAAATCTGTCTGTTCTGCCGAGGCTGCTACATGAAGCCTCACTTTCAGGATTCACTTCAGAGACAAACAAATGCTACATAGGGTAGTCTAAACTGCAAACAGGTCCAACATGGAAAATGTTCACTTCTCCGCTTGATCAAATAAAGTTACCTAGTGCAGGAAAGGAATATCTCTTAGAATCGAAACCTACTTGGGCATGGTAGTTCATGCCTATGATCCTAGTTCTTGGAAGGTTAAAGTAGATAGATGGATTGCTTTGAGTTCCAGACTAGTCTAGACTACAAGATGAAAAATTTGTCTTAAAGAAACAAAACTGCGCATGATGAACAATGTTCCACATATTTAGGGCATTCAAAACCTTTATGTGTTTCTTTTACTTCTCAGTGTGTCTTTCAGTGCGGGTAATGAAGAACACAAGGCCAAAAACGTTGGGTCAGTTATAATTCAACTTTAACTCACAATTAATCAAGCATTTATTATCGGCTTACTAATCTCTACATTTCCTTAACTACAGTAAAATTCTTCAAAAGCAAAGTATGAACTCAAGTATGAATACTTGAGGGCTAAAGACAAGAGGATTGTCACAAATTTAAGGACAGTTTAGGCTACACACTATATTCTAGATCAGCTTGGACTACATGATGTCTCAAAAATGAAAATGTATACTTAGCATTTCCCATTTTTATCCATTTCCTTCATTTAAAATGCTTGTCCCAACTCCCATCCTTAGGGTATAATATGTTCAGGGTTAAGGTAACCAACTGTTCTGGTTTGCCTTGCACTGAAATATCTCCTAGGAGATGGGTCTTTCTGTGTTACACTGGGACAGCTGACCCTCTTACTGAGGACTGAAATGGCCATTGAATAGAGACAAGAGAATTTTCTCATATTACATTTGACTGTGAGCTGAAAGCATGGATTACTCAGTTAGATTCATGGAAAGAATAGAATGGTAATGTTTTAAGCTGTCTTTAAACATTTAAAAAAACATGGTTTTGCTTTTTTGTTTGTTTGTTTGGCTTTTTGAAACAGGGTTTCTCTGTGTAACAGCCCTGGCTGTCCTGGAACTTGCTTTGTAGACCAGGCTGGCCTCGAACTCACAGAGATCCACCTGTCTTCTGCCTCCTGGCCTGCACCACCACTATCTGTCGTATTTTTCAGTTTTTTTCCAAACAAGGTATCTATGCTGGCCATATTGAACTTAAACTAAAGCAATCCTCCTGTTTCAGCTTTCCCATTGCTTAAAGTATGAGTCAACAAGCCCAGAACCGGAGTCCTCTGGAAGAGCAGCTGCAGAGCTCTCTCTCCAGCCCCAGAAGCATTTCTCCTAAGAGAAGTGTCTAAGGCTTCTTCCCTTCACATAGTCTTGTTTATAAACCAATTCTCCACATATCCCTGCCCTCTATTTGAGATTCTGAATATGTTTAGTACATACATGCTCATTCATTATTGACATAATCTGCTTTCTACTGACAAGTTCTGCTCATCTAACAGACCTGAGTAGGTGAGCCACAAGGTCTCCAAATTAACTTCTATCCCAGGAAGAATTCTCTACCAGTCTTGTAAAGGCTAATAGGTAATTATATCTTCCTGACAAACACATATGCTTCAAGTTCCAAAAAGCCTCCAAAATTAGAATCTTCTCACCATAAGAACATGTGGAATGCAGTAGGGTGGTGGTAGTGTATGCCTTAATCCAGCACTAGGGAGGCAGAGGCAGAGGGATCTCTGTGAGTTCAATGCCAACCTGGTCTACAGAGGGAGTTCCAAGACAAACAGGGCTACACATAGAAACCCTGTCTCTAAAAAATACAAAAACAAACAAGAAGAATATGTAGAATCAAATGATGTCACACCTAGCTTACCATTTCTCTTTGTAATGGGATAATTATAGAACACAAGAGAGAGAGTTGTCTTCTAGGTCTGGTGATATTCTTGAGGATGACAGATGCTGAAGAACAATCTGACCTTTACTAAATACACATATCACTACATACGTATTTACATATGCACATACGTATATCAGAAAAATCCTCTTGTACCTATGGGGAGTTTCACACATTCACAAACAAAAATTCTTTCCCTTTGGGCATTTGGCCACATTTACTTTATTCGCATCCACACAAAAGAGAACTACTAATCAGTACAACAAAAACAGATAGGATAGGCTGGCAAGATAGCTCAGTGAAGAAAGGTAGTTGATGCTAAGTCTGACGACCAGAGTTCAATCTCCAGGACCTACATGATAGAAGATGAAAAACACCCTCTACAAGCTGTCCTCTGATCTCCACACATATGCCACAGCATACACACACATGTGCCATAGCATATGTGGGTACATGTGCTTGCACACATACACACTGGCTTAGTTAGCATTTCTGTCATCTATGATAAAACATGATCACTGAATCATTTAACCCTTTTAACCCCAGCACTCAGGAGGCAGAGGCAGGTGGATCTCTATGAGTTCGAAGTCAGCCTGGTCTATAGAGCAAGTTCCAGAATAGCTAAGGCTACATAGAGAAACCCTGTTTCAGAAAAAAAACAAAAACAAATACAAAAAACAAAACAAACAAACAAAAATAACAAACAAAGGCATGACCATAAGCAACTTTTGGGAAGGAAAGGGTTTATATTTATTCTGCTTCCACTTCCACATCATAGTCCATCACTGAAGGAAGTCAGGGCAGGAGCTGACGCAGAAGCCATGGAGGAGTGTTGCTTACTGGTTTGCTCCCTCATGACTTGCTCAGCCTGCTTTCTTACAGCATTCAGGACCATCAGCCCGGGGATGGCCCCACCAACAATGGGCTGGATCCTCCCACATCAATCACTAACTGAGAAAATGCACTACAGACATGCCTACAAGCCAATCTTATGGAGGCATTTTGTCAATTGAGAGTCCTTCTTCCCAAATGAGGCTAGTTTGTGTCAAGGTGAAATAAAATTAGCCAGCACTGTAATGGAACACTGTGAAAATATGTTGCTCTCATTGGTTTATAAGGAGCAAAATGGCCAATAACTAGGCGGAAAAAGGTTAGGTGAGATTTGCAGATAGGATAAGAGCTCGGGGATGAAGAGGGCAGAATTGCCAAGAGAAGTAAGACGAACATGCCATGTTGAAAAAAGGTACAAAATCACATAGTAAAGCATAGATAAGAAATAGGGGTTAATTTAAGTTATAAGAGCTAGTTAGTAACAAGTCTAAGCTATTGGCTGGACATTTATAATTAATAGTAAGTCTCTGTGTGGTTATTTGGGAGTTGGCTGGTGGAACAGAAAATTCTGACCACATGGTACACACCCAAATAAATTTGTATAATAAAATTTTTATTAATGAAAAAAATGACTGGAGCTGGAGAGATTACTCAGCATTTAACATTACTGGCTGCTTTTCCAGAGGAGCTGGGTTCCGTTTCCAATATCCACATGTTGGCTCACAACCATTTAACTCTGGTTTCAGGAAATTTGCCACACTTTTCTGGTCTCCCAAACATCAAATATACAAGTGAATCACAGGAAAATACCCATACATATAGAATAAAATTAAAAGTAAATAAATGGGTAAGTTCCTGAACAATGATAAAAAGTACTCAGTTTTCTTAGAAGCTAGTTACACTATAACATAACCATCAGATTTTTCAAATAACTCATCTTTTAAAACACACAAACAAGCCAAGTAGTGGTGGCACACACCTTTAATCCCAGCACTAGGGAGACAGAGGCAGTCAAATCTTTGCGAGTTCAAGATCAGCCTAGTCTATAGAGTGAGTTCCTGGACAGTCAGGGCTATGCAGAGAAACCCTGTTTCCAGAAACAAACAAACAAAAAACAAAACAAAAAACCCAAAAAAACAAAGAAACAAAACAAAACCACACACATACAAAACAAAACCAAGGCTGACAAGATAGCTCACCAAATAAGGACACTTTCCACTAAGACTGACGCTCTGAGTTCAAACCTTGGAACCCATATGGTAAAAGGAAAGAAATAATTTCTGGAAATTGTACTCTAACTTCCAATTTTGTGCTATGGTGTGTACATACTCATATGCACATAAATGCATAGTAAGTAAGTAAGTGTGAAAACAAAACAGAACAACAAAAAAAGATAACCAAAAAGCAACACACCAGTTCTTTATTTTTGGCAAAACACAATCCATTAAGTGTTTTATGGCTTTTGATTTTGCCCAGACTGGACTAGAACTTGCAGCAATCCTCCTGCCCCAGGCTCCTAAGTGCTGAGAGTGGACATGAACTGCAATGCCCAGCTGAATTTTAAAAATTTGTTGAATTTCTTTCAATCCTACACTTCTATTATTTATCATGTGTAGTTTTTAGGTATTGGTGGTTGAAATTAATAAGTTCTATCACATTGTACAATCCTGGTTTATTACAGGTCTTGAAATGTTTTAATATTTTTAAAAAATAACTTTGTTCTTTTATCATAGAAGCCACACCAACTTTAAAATTTAATATAGAGCTCCCAACTGTATCCTTATATGATCCTAGACAAGTTAGTTAATTTTTGTTGACACCATTATCTCCATTTATAAAGACAATAATGACTGCATGATGGCTTTGATGAGAAAAAGAATTGAGGAAGCACAGGTAAAAAAAATAGTTATGAAGCTGGGCAGTGGCAAAGCATGCCTTAAATCCCAACACTTGGGAGGCAGAGGCAGGTGGATCTCTGTAAGTTTGAGGCTAGTCTGGTCTACAAAATGAGTTCCAGGACAGTTAGAACTGTAACACAGAGAAACCCTGTCTTGAAAAGCCAAAACAAACAAACAAACAAATCAGTTATGAGCTGGATAGTGGTAATGCATGCCTTTAATCTCAGCACCCAAGAGGCAGAGGCAGGTGGATCTCTGAATTTGAGACCAGCCTGGTCTACAAAGCAAGTTCAAGGACAGCCAGAGTTACAA